GGACAAGACGCTTCTGCAACAAACATCGAACCGCAGTATTCCCAATTCCAAGAAGCTTCTGTTAACAACACGCAACCTCAGGCTACGATGCAAAGACGCAAGGATTTCGCGAGGAAGAAGACCGTTCAACCTGTCTCCTCGTACATAACGATTCGCAGAAAATCCGTGAGCCATTCGGGGCGAGACTTGCATTAGTTTTCAAGAAAGTTCGTGTCTTCACACCTAATTTACCTTTAGTTTTTTTTAATTAGAGGATTTTGTGCGTAATTGGTTAAGCTACGCATTTCAGGTCGACGGTTCTGCACGAACCAAAAATGTTAATTATTTAAAAGTTAGCAGCAATTTATTCATATTTTATTTATTTATTTTAATTTCTAATATTTTTTTTACTGTTCTAATTACAGTTAAAAAAAACTAATTGTTAAGTAAACGTTCTAGTGATTCACATATTAATTAGAGTAGATTAAGTTGGCTATAGTTTAAGTTAAATGAGATGATGCGCCATCTATTTATTACATCAAAGTTAACCAATTTTTATTTATTTCAATTATTTATGTTAAAATTTAAGTAATTCTAGTTATAATTAACTATATATTAGTCAAAAATAATAAACAAAATTAAATTTTTGGGATTTTTTGAATGTCATCATATTTTATTTAATTCCTTAACAACCAGATTCACTAAGTACTTCAGTAAAAATTCAGATTAAAGTAAAAACTGTGACCTTTTCAATAAGCCTACTATGAGATTTGTGGTGTCCGCCGTTCTTCTGTTATCAACTGTCAAATTGGATCAATAGAATTTTAAGCGATTTTTACAATTATTTTTTTTTGCAAAATGTTCTGAAAACATAATTTTTTTAAATGAATAATAGTTTATTGAACAATATATAGAATTGAATAATATTGTTTTCATAAAAGTCGACTTTTTTGTTGAATTAATTCGATATATTCAAAAATATGGGAATTTTTCGTTTTTTTCTAATTAGATCAATAAACATTAAAATTTAATGAAATTTTTGTATTTTATTTTTTCCATAAAATTGTTGAATAAAAACTTCTTAAATTTCTAATTGATTGAAAAGTAAAGGGAATTTTAACTTTACTATCATCTTTTCTTTTCTATAACAAAATGTATGAATCTGTCCGATGGAATCAATAAAAGGTAATTGAAGGGATTACAATTTCTATTGTTTTTTTACTGTTCTAATTACAGTTAAAAACTAATTATTAAGTAAACGTTCTAGTGATTCACATATTAATTACAGTAGTTTAAGTTGACTATAGTTTAAGTTAAATGAGATGATGCGCCATCTATTTATTACTTCAAAGTTAACCAATTTTTATTTATTTCAATTATTTATGTTAAACTTAAAATAATTCTAGTTATAGTTTACTATATATTAGTCAAAAATAATAAACAAAATCATTTTTTTGGGATTTTTTTTTTTGATTTTTTAAATGTCTTCATATTTTATTTAATTCCTTAACAACCAGATGCACTAAGTACATTAATAGACATTGATTAAAGTAAAAACTGTGACCTTTCCAATGAGCTTACTATGAAATTTGTGGAGTCCGGCGTTCATCTGTTATCAACTGTCAAAATGGATCAATATTTTTACAATTATTTTTTTTTGCAAAATGTTCTGAAAACATTATTTTTTTAAATGAATAATAGTTTATTGAACAAAATATAGAATTGAATAATATTGTTTTCATAAAAGTCGACTTTTTTGTTGAATTAATTCGAAATATTAAAAAATATGGGAAATTTTCGTTTTTTTCTAATTAGATCAATGAACATTAAAATTTAATGAAATTTTTGTATTTTATTTTGTCCATAAAATTGTTGAATAAAACTTAGTAAATTTCAATGCAATTGACTGAAAAATAAAGGGAAGAGTAAATTTTAACTTCACTATCTTCTTTTCTTTTCTATAACAAAATGTATGAATCTGTCCGATGGAATCAATAAAAGGTAATTGAAGGGAAGTCAGCAACGGTGGTTTTCGATGAAGAAAGGAAAAAAACGAATTGAAAAACGTGATCAAAGGGCTTAAAGTTTACGATCAATTGGGTGTTACGCGAAGAAGAATAAGTGGAGAGAAAAGAAAAAAAGAGTCGATTTCAATAAGCGGTTTTCCTTTTTTCTTTCTCATTCCTTTCCAAGGATCCAACTTCTTGCAGTTTTTTCTCTCTCTCTATATATATATACTTTTTGTTCTGTCCTGTTTTCCTTTAATTAGACGCCGCGGTCTATGTCTTGCCCATAAAATCCTTCTCCGACTTGTTAAATGCGAGTTTGGAAAAACATTTGGAAACGATGTGTCGCTGAAGGAGTAGAAGGAGACCAATTAAAACTTCTTGTAATGTTTCCTTCGTCGCCAACGTCCGTTGAAAAGTTTGCGTAATCCAGAAAAGAGACTCAATTTTACTTTATGCCATCTACATTTTATTTATATTATTTTCTTCATCTGGTTTTGTATCCGTTTTGCTGCGTTTATTAAAAAAAACAAATTAGTAAAGTTCAATATTTTCAACACAACAAAAATATTGAAAAAAATGTATCTTAAGCAATAAAAATCCTTATTTTTTCATGAACTTACTTTGCATAGTTTCCTAATAAATTTACTATATTAATTATTGATTTTTTTCTGAAACACTAAAATTTCGTCTTATAAACATTTATTTTTTAATATTTTTTTGTAAGAAGTTTTCTAATTAATTTATTACATAAATTATACATTTTTAATCATTTACTATACAAAAATCTATAGAAAAACCACTATTATTTCTTAATTTCTTAAATGCTTTAAAAAAAATTAATTTCTGTCATATCTTTTGTATAAGAAGTTTTCTAAACAATTTATTGTATTAATTATAGATTTTTAATAATTTTCAACAGAAAAATGTATAAAAATCCACTATTATGTTTCTTATTTTAATAATTTATCAATTTAAGTAAATATTGCTTAATATCAGTACATTTTCTTGTACACAACAAAACTTTAGTTGGACAAATATTAGTTTATTTTCTTTTCAATTTTCCGAAGTTCCATTTCCCCTGCGGCGTCCGTTCAGAGTTTATTTCCACTACAAATCCAATAACACATAAAGTTTGAAGCACAGTTTCCTTTTTTTATTGTCATTTGGCCTTCCATCTCGTTGATTTATTCTTTTATCAATATTTCATACATCCCTGCATCATTTTTCATAATATTTTATTATAGACTTTTTTTTATAGAAATTATTTCTATATTTATCAACTAATTATTGTCATCATTTTACATATTTTTCTACAATTCAAATAATAGACATTTTTTTAGTAAATAATTGCAATTATTGAAATTTGTTAGTGGAAGGAAGAAAATTCATAAATTAATTTGTTTTTAAATCGAATTTATTCAACTGTAACTTAATAGATTATTATTTCTTACTTCTTCCACAAACAGTTAGATATGTACTCATTCCATTAGGATCTAAAGGCAGAAAAGAAAGTCACTAATCGTCACAGTTTTCTCTAATTGAGTTTAATGATTCCGATCTTCAATATATTTGTATTTATAGGACAAAAAAACAACAACAACAACAAATGGAAACATTTGAAAAAAGTGTATTTTCTTGTGTAGAGTTTCATTATTTTGTTTAGAATTTATATGTTTTTTGACTTATTTATTTATATATTTATTATGTAATAAATCTTATAGGTAATTTTGTTGTGTATACTGAAAAATAGGCAAAAATTTGTAATTCTTAAAGTTTTTTTCAGAAAAATATGATTTTTTTTATTGATTTATATAAAGCATTGTGTAAGTAATATAAGTAGTTATAAAGTTGAAACAAAGTTAAGTTGATTGAAATATTTTTTTAAAAAAAGTGAAATTTTGTGATAAAAAAAAATATGAATTTCAAAGAATTTTTTGTTTCTGAGAATAAATAAGTAAATAAATCGAATTGTTTGTTTCTAGCAGTAATTAAAAATGATTTAAATAAAGTCAAATTTGTTAAAAAAAAAACTATCATTAGTTTGCAAAATATTATTGAATAAATAAGTATAGATTTTTTTGGTCTGTTTTCTGTTTAAGTTTTCTTAAGAAAGACGTAATATTATGTGTTTTTTTATTGATTTATATAAATCATTTTGTAAGTAATATAAGTAGTTATAAAGTTGAAGCAAAGTTAAGTTGATTTTATTTGAAATATTTAAAAAAAAAAAGTGATATTTTGTGATAAAAAAAATATATTAATTTCAAAGATTTTTTTGTCTCTGAGAATAATAGTAAATAAATCGAATTGTTTGTTTCTAGCAGTGATTAAAAAGGAAAAAAAAATGATTTAGTTGAAGTCAAATTTGTTAAAAAAATCATTACTTTGTAAATTATTGTTGAATAAAGAAGTATAGATTTTTTGTCTGTTTTTTTTTTTAAAGTTTTCTTGAGAAAAATGTAATATTATGAGACTTTTATTATTGATTTATATAAATCATTTTGTAAGTAATATTAGTAGTTATAAAGTTAAGTTGATTGTATTTGAAATAATTGTTTAAAAAAGTGAAATTTTATCATTGGTTTGTAAATTATTATTGAATAAAGAAGTATAGATTTTCTTTTTTGGTTCTTTTCTGTTTACCTTTTAAATTAATTTGAAATAAGTTTACTAAATTTGCTATGTGGGAAGTCTATATACTTCAGTAAGTATAAATATTATTTGAAATGTGTTTTAAAAACTATGTTTTTAAGTTGAAACTGTTTGTAAATGAAAACTTCGTATTTTATGTTTTATGTAACAAATAATTTATTTTTTTTTATATAACAATTAATTTATATTTATTTAACAAGAAAATTAACAAATAACAAAGTTTAAACAGAGATGTGAGCAGTTTAAGAAGTCGACAATAAATAAATAAATATGAATATACTTCAGATAAATAGTTTCGCCAATATGGTGAATCACAAGGGCTTTTTTTTGTGTATATTAGATGGATTAGATTAATCCTTCTTAGTGGGTTGGGATTTGTCCACGGTAGGCCATGCTGTTACCAGTCTCGTATTGCCTGGCCCATCCACCTGAAGAGTAATCTCCGTGTCCACCAGAGACGGAATGCTCGTGATGGGTTTCGTGATGGGGATGAGCTACGACTTCGTAGGTGACGTGCTTTTCTTGGGAGAAGAGTTTCTTCAAACCGATGACTGCTGCAAGGACGAGGGCAAGCTGCAAGAAGCAAACAATTAGTATCATCAACTTTGTTGATTAGTGGTAAATATTCATACTTTGCTGACGAGGAGAGCCTTTCCTACGAGGAGGACGAGAGCTTTGAAGGCCAAAGCTTTAAGCAAACCAATCTTCAAAGCGGCGGCGGCGATGAGAGCTCCCATACCGCTGTCCTTCTTCTTACGAGCATCTCCTTCAGTGTTTGGAGTTGGACGAAGAGATAATCCTAAGTTGATGCCTCCATCCTTATCTCCTTTTCCGGCCAAAACAACTTCAGCATCGTCAGTTACCTACAACAGAATCAAATTTATCAATTCATCATATCTTTACGTAATTATTGATGATATTATACCTTCCACTTCAAAGATCTGGTCCTCAAGAAGTTCAAAGCTTTATCAGCGAGAACAGCAGTCAGTTGAGTTTCCTCGCTAGCTTGATCATCTCCTAAGCTACGAGCTGAAGCCAAGGTTACGGTTTCGGTTGAAGTTTGCGTTATTTCCAAATCTCCTAACTCGATTTGTGACTTCTTCAGAAGCCTGTTGAAATACGTCATCAGTTTCAGCATCATGCATGAGGATACGTCGTGGTTCGAGCATTTGTTGTTCAGCTTCTTCATGAGGGCATCTTCGACGGAAGTGTCATCATTGGCATGAACCTGTAAAAATACCAAAGAAATATTAAAATTTTAATCTCAATTAGGACTAATCGGGTTATGGTTAAAAAATTGGCAAATATGTGAAAAATAATCGAGTTTTAAGTATTAGAAATAATTTCATTTAGAAATATAATGAAAACACTAATCAATATTTGTAATAAAATCCGGATTAAACGAGTTATCAAGAATTAAAATGATCAATTAATAAACAATTAAATTATAATAATTTGAATGACTTTACTTAATAATATGGATTTTAAAGAGTGAAAATTGAAGTGTTAGCAACTAAAATAGAATTAGGACTAAACGAGTTATTTAATTACTTTTCAATTTTTTGTAAAATATATTAAAATTATCTCTAGAATCTTTCAGAATGCATTCAAATTTTATAAATTTTTTTAATCCGGATTGAATGAGTTATGTTTTTTTAATTTTAAATTTTTAAAATTGGATTATGATTAGAATCCGGACTAACCGAGTTCTGAATGAACAAAGTATTCAAATGTGAAGTAAATTTTAAGATTCTAATTGAAAATTAAACATTGATAATGAAAGTATTACAATTTATTCATTGAGTTATGCATTTAAATCAGATTATTTCGTTGTAATTACCAGAATTTAATTATGTTTTATAATAAATATAAATGAAGCTTTAAAACGAGCTTTTCAGGATTAAACGAGTTATTTGATATAACAAATTCAAATAGAACTAAAAAAAACATCGCTTTGTACGTGAATTTGGAAGAATTTAATTGAAAATTAAACATTGATAATGAAAGTACTACAATTCATTAATACCGGATAAATCGAGTTATGGATTAAAAACAGATTATTTCATTGTAACTGAACGGAATTTATTTATATTTTATAATTAATGAAAGTTGTAAAGCTTTTCAGGACAGAACGAGTTATTTAATATAACAAATTGAAATAGAAAAATAACATCACTTTGTACGTGAAATTCCCGTTTCAATTAATATCATCAACATTTCCGCATTACGTAAAGCACATTTTCATTTAGATTTAATCAAATTTCCATTAAAATTTCCCTTTGGGCGAAAATCCCTTTTCGAAAAAGAAAATCATTATACTTCAATTGCAAAGCACATTCCTCTCATTCAACCCTTCTTTTTTTTTTGTTTCTTCGTTTGTTTTTGCGGCTCACAAAGTGAACTTTCTCTCCCTTTTTTTATATATAATTTATTTGCATACGAATTACCATTGTAAAGTCACATCGAATTCTGTAACTTCCTTTCGTTTTCTTCCTTTTTTTTGTTAATTCACTTTATTTTGTGCTGAAATTTCCACGATTCTAATGCAAAGAAATGAAATAACATTTATGGGATGGGAAGAGAGGAAATGCGTTTTAGGTTTATATATCTTCGGGGGGGAAAAATAAACATTGCTGTGAGATGAGATCAAAAGAAGAAGCATTTCCTTTTTAATTAAAATGCAATGGAATGGATTTTACAGACGGATTTTAAATTGAATCATTACTACGAAATTAAATAAAATCCATTTCCTTGTTAATGTAAACTTTGTCATTTAATCATATTTGATGATGATTTAAAATATTAATTGTAATTCATAGTAAAAAATAGACAAATTTAGTAAAAACTATTGAAAATTGATAAAGAAAATTTAAAACTTTTGTGAACGAAACCATATTTTCTATATTTTTTTAATAAAAGCAATAGTAGATTTAAAAAAATAAATTAAATTGTACAAATATTCAAAATTTAGTACATCCAATTCAGATATAAAGTTCACTTTAATTAGTTCAACGTTTCATCAACTCGTCCTGCCTCCTAATTGCGTTATTTTTGTGTGTCTCTACGATAAAATTAATTAATTTCTACGATGAAACTTGGTGCTTTTGCTGCTGTTGTTGTTGTTATCGTTATTACAACAAATCCGTACATCTCTTCGCTAAAAAGGTGAGGACAGGTGAAGCAATAACAAAACGCATCGAGCGAAATTTAATTAAGTTAAGAGAACCGAGAGAACGCTTCATGGGAATCCCCTTATTCCATCCAAATTTAGTTAGCAAATTAAACGAAAACGTACATTTCATAAAAAAAAACAACAACAAAAAATAAATTAATAATAATAATTTTATTACTTGAGTAATTTCATACCAATTTCAGTCATTTTTTTTACTGTAAAAATTGGATAAATTATTGAAAAATTTGAATTAATCGAAACTTTAAGTAATTTGTCAATATAAGATAATTAAAAAGTAAAAATTTATTATTTTTTTGATTGAAAGAAATTTTGTTGAAATCGGATTTGTTTTTAGTGGACAAATTTTGTTGAATTTATTTACTTACCAGATTTTGACTCGGTGCATCGTCGACGGCTGGTCCAGCGGTTGCCAAGGCAACGAAACAGAGGGCCACAACACAGATCACTTTTCCGTTCATTGTTGAAGGATGTAAGAAAACTTGGATTTACTTGAAGAAAAAAATGCAGCGAATGATCACAATTATCAAGTGCGCTTTTTTTTTGTATTGTTTATATTTGTTTCTTGTTACAAACGTTGTTGTTTTGTTTTGTTTCTTAGTGTTGTTGTTGCTTGGTGTGTGCAAACATGTCCGAAGTTGCAAAACGAATGCCTGGAATTGCGACTGGCTAAGGTTTTATATCCGATGCTGACTCGATGTGTGTCGTTGTTGGACCAGTTAAATGTGGTGAATTAGGGTTACCGTTTGGCTTCATCGTTTTCCAACGGCTCCGATCGGGCTCACACACCCATATTCTTCACTTCTTCTCTTGCATTCTCGCTCGACATTCGACCGGAGATCTTCAACATCCGAAGATCATCAATTTCCGGTTGTACCTTTTTTTTTTATTAAAGAAAAAAAACCCTATATTTCATCCAATTATCCTACTTCTTCTGGTGTTTTAGATTCCATCGATGAGAAACGAAACCATGCGAGTGAGAAAAAAAAAGTTTCTCCCGAGCAGAAAGAAACAGTTATTACAACCAAACATAAATCACAGTGTATTCTATATGAACATTTTTGTTATATCCTTTTTTTGTTGTTGAGCCCTTGAGAATGTAATATACTGTTTTTTTATCGAAAGTGAAATGAATGTAATTGCAATTACACGAATCTCGTCCTTTGGGAAACGAATATTTCGTCCTCTTTGTTTTTTTGTTACTAACTTTTGGAAACTCCAATGTTTTCTATCAAAATATTTTAATTTCGCTTGGGAATATTATCATTCCCTCAGTATAATATGTGATAATTTATGCCACTACTGAAACCGAGATATACGACATAATAAAAGTACTTGTAAT